ACTTTTAGTTCTTATTTATTTTGATAAATGGATTTTCATCAAGTAAAAGCCACCTCAGTTCAAGTCAACAGAGTTGTCAAGACTATGATATCTTGCTACGTAGGCGAAAACCGTCGAAAGTTGCATAAGCGAAGCTAATAGGTTTTCATCATATTATGTCAATTTCGGCAGGGAATATATAGGAGACGACAGTATTACTACCAACTTCCAGATTCGACTCATCCTATGCCAGACAGAGCGGACAGTTTCAAGAAAATGTATTTAAAGGCTAAGAAATCGTTAAGCAAGGCAGAGGATAGAATTAGACAACGCTATAATTTACGACGGTGGCAAGTCGCCTACGATAAGGGGGGGGGGGGGGTGGAGAAGAAACAAGGTAAAGTCGAACGCTCTAGAAGTTGTCAAGTCGAAGCTGTGTCCAAAGTATCTTGGACCATTTCGCGTTAGACGAAAACTTTACGTCATACGAGCTCACTAAGTTAAACGTAGGAAAGGCTGGCATTTGGCATACTTAAGATTTGAAGCCTATTGTGGAAGACAATACTTATCATTAATTAATTGGTAATCTTGTGAAGCTTACCTCTGTGGAAGAAGGGCGGGAGTATTACGGTTCATTTTTTACTTTACGGAGGTGCGTTAATTTCACAACAGAAAAACATCAATACAAAAAGAAAGGGAAAACGAACTACAAGATTTCCCTGTGGTTTGTTATCTAGAGTACTTAGCTGCGTGTTAACCTTTTCTCGACCGTGATAGATATCCAGATAGAGCTTTATGTGTGTCATTTTGCGTTTTAGGTCAAAGATTGGTAACGCCATTGTGATGGTTCTAGGACCAGTGAAGGGCTACCAGCAGGGTATCGTTCCTGTAGTTCGTAACTGTGTTTCCTTAGCGGGTCCCTAAAACCGTTGGTTGTAGTCATCAGATCTATAACCAAAGCCGTGGATTAGTAAATAAAGTCGTCAACTATTGATTACTTTTGGACCCAAGGCTTACCTTCATCTGCCTTTCGTTCAATATTCTTCTGATTTGCAGTTCCTGTGGTGGACAGTTAACTTCGTTACTCAAGTATATATTTTCTTATTTAACGAAGGTAAACACGGTGTAGCGTCCTCGAAAATCTGTTTTGTTATTTACTGCGGAGAGGAAGTGACGCGTTTGAATTTTGCATAAGTTCTGGATGATGACGTCACATCCTGGACCTGCCGTAACAATACGCCTCAACACACACGATATAAGATTTAAAATTTGAGCATTAAAAATAATTCCTGGCTAGAGAATCGTTCCAGATTCACTCCCTTTATTCACCGTTCCTTATGGAGTTTCGACGTTTCGATGTTTTGTTAATATATTATAGTGATGACTCTCGTAAATTTTTGTCTGATATGCATGGGACGTATTCAATGCATAAAAGAATTTTGTTGAAGCACGTTTCCGCCAACTTTACCTTGTACCACTTTTTTTTTTTTGAAGAACCCTCGCTTATCAACCGTTGCATAAGCGCCGATCTTTTGGGGGTAGCTTTTGGTTCAGCGAATACGGGATTGTACTGTAGAAGGGGGAGCGCTTAACCTACAAGTACTGTTCTTTTTTTTTGAGGCGCGCAGAACATAATATCATAAAATAATTGAAGGTTTATTACGCCTAATGTGAACTCCTCGTGTACACTGCTGCCATTATTTCTTTTTGTTTTCTTCGTTCGTAAGCGCCTACCCAAAATCGCTTGTATTTTCTTTTATTCAAATTTAATGTTTATTTTTTTTTTAATTTTAGTATCTGCAGCGACGACTACTCAGCTGTGATAAATCTAGTCCTTTTCCGACTTTAATAAACCAAAGGTCTTCGAACCTTTCCTTTTTTTTCCTTTTGCCACCCCCACTCCACCTCGTAACGGAGTGCGCCGACCGAAGATGCGTTGATAGAGTCAAATTTTTATGCTTTTTTTATATTAGTTGAATAATTCCTATAGTTATTTTCGTTTCTATATCAGCCGGTACGAATTCCCTTTGGGAGCACGGGTTGCTAGCCGATCAAGGCAATTCTCCCGTGAAGCATTTTATTTGTTTTTTTAATGTCGACTCTGAGATTTGGGACGTTGCATTCTGATGTATTTCATTCATTAATTTTCGGCTCTTCAAGAATGTGAATATATTTTATTAAAATTTTGGGGAGTATGTCCAAGGAGATTTATTAAAAGAAATACTTAACAATGCAATAGTTGATTGCGCTTAAGTTTTAACATTCGGCAAAACTTCGTGGCACTCGGCGATATCTGTCTAGGGCAGGTTCTGCCGCCAAGTCTGGTGACCTTACCTATATTGGTTTATCGGAGGATGTTTCTTTTCACTGCAGCAATATCTAGTCTCGCATTGTCTTGCTGAAAAATTGGATCCTGCAGTTGCTGAAGTTAGGGCAACGCGACAATCTGTAACAGGTTGTTTTTGTAGGAATGGACACGTATGCTTGATCTACAATTGTTATGGCACCCAAACGACTAACGCAGTTATCTATGTCTATGGGTTTATAACAATACTTACCGAAGTAACCAATAAGCGGTAATTCTTGGATAAATCAATCTCTGGATGGATATCTGTCGACACGTAGCTGCCCCCCACTCTTGTCCGATTGCGCTGGTTGTGCTGAAACGACCTCTAAGGGCACTAAGTCTTGGGAGCAGTTCTTGGTGATCGCTGGTTCTTCTTAGAGTTTCAGTAACGATGAACAAACTACTCTTCACAATGTAGCATTTCGACCAATGTAGTTTCCAATTTCTCGAAAGGACATCCCAGCGTCTCGTAGGCTTAATGAAACGCTCTAATTTTAAAATTACCAGAGAATTTTTTTTGTAATAACTTATCGAAGTTACGACTTTTGGCCCTATTTGGTGTTTGCCGAAGTGATTTTTGAATGAAATTTTTATTGAATTTAGTTGAATACGGTATTTAGACATGTCGGATAACTCTTTTAGTTGTCTTGTTTTACTGTTATATATAGTGGTATTGTAATTATAAAATTGTCATTATTATTTCGGTGTTGATTAGTCCAAATGAAAGTTTACCCAAAAGAACAGCGTACTCATTTAAGTTTTAGCCCATTAGAAAGTTATCCTGTCATTTTTAAATAGCATTGGCAATTACATGCAATAAAATTTTAAAAACATCAAATGGCCCCAAAAATTATAATTTCGCGTGTTTTGGGAAATCGCAAAGAGTTAGCTATAGAACATTCGACGTTCGATGTTTAAATAATAAGTATAACTCATGCCAAATAAACCTTTAGTCACATCATCAAACTCGGCCGGCACATCGTTGTCATTTAGATGTTTGCCTTTAATCAAACTGTTTTATATTGTAAGCATTTGTAAATATAATGTTTCAAAGTTTGAGCTTATAGAAAATAATTAAGAGTTTTTATTTTCTCATTTTTCAAATCATAATAAAAAAAAACAGTTATGTTCAGTACCTCGACACATGTATAATTAAATAATGCGTATTTGGATACATAGAGAAAATTTTCGTCAACCTTAATAATAAGTAAAAGAATCTCCTGCCGGTCCATTACTTGTTTGAGCATAAAATGTATAATTTTTTTTTATTGTAGGTACTTACAGAAGTACTTATTTTTTGGATACATATCTTAAATAGTGTTACGTATAGTGGATGACTTTGGAAAATAGCAGACACTCCTTGAAGTGTACCGTTTATTAAAAGGCGATTTTGAAACTTCTAATTTTTATTGCTTTGGACACTCTACTTGCTGAAAATAAAGTTTAAATTAAAGGTTTCTGTTTGGACGTAGACGATTTGAAAACTCAGTGCCCTACGATCATTAACAAGTACTGTTCAGCTGCTTAAGTTGAAAATAGAACAAAGTTCCCCTAAACCAAATACTCGTGATACAAGTAAACAACTAAACGAATCAAACCCAGTCAAGGATGTCAAGAAATTGATTTTAGAGCCGTGATACCAACTCAATCCAGAGTAGGAAATTTTAATTCTAATGAAGCTAGTTCGGCGCCAACATGGTTGTTGAAAATGGCTTGACTAAATTTTATTTAGTATGAGCTGTAATTCCCCCAATAAATTAAAAGTTAAAGTTAAGCCGGATAAGTGCAATTAATTTTTTTTAAATTATTTAAAAAACACAAGTTTATATTCACTATAGAACCCAGAAATGCTGTGGGGTCTTGTGGTGCACGTACTAATTTACGCATGTGCTATTAGGCTATTGTGCTGGCGAAGGACCACTGAGATTGATTGATTGCTTCCAAAAGTGAACTGAATTTAATTACTTCATTAATGCTTGCATTTACAATATATTACAACTCATAATGTTAAGAATTTCTTGGCAACGTATATAATATAAAAGTGGAACTTTTTGAAAACTACACTATTAGCGACAAAATCATTTTATAATTTTAAGAATGAAAAGCCTTTTCGATGAAAACCATCTAAAAAAAGGTCTTTGTCAAAGTGCGACCAGTACGTCAGTTTTGGTTAAAATCGGTTTCGAAAATAAGTGGACCGAAACTGCCAATCATGATATATTAACGTCGCACGACCGGCACGATAAGCGGCCGCCCCCCGCCGGAAACCTAACCGTTTTTCCCATTAAAAAAACACAGCGATTCACGATTTACGTTGTCGGTCGAAATAAATCTCGATCCGTCCCTGGCGTACCTGCCATCAAAACTCACTTCCCGATGTTATAGCCACATAAAACCCCGCTCGAAACTGCAGTCCGCACATGCAGGTCCCCACCACGCTCAAAGTCGTAAATTCGTCCCACCGTGTCTACCCGTCTGGCCGCCGCGTTGCACATTTTCGAATGCAACTCACTTACTTTTCGCTCTGCCTTGGCTGACGGACTGACAGTTGATTTTCGCGAAATCCAAGTCCGCGAATTTCAAGTCCGCTTTAAGCCGGTCGGCCGTCGACCGCAGCAGGAATTCTTCGCGCCGCAGCTTTCGCTTGTCTGCCGTTCGCGCGCCGCCGTGTGACCTGTTGCTATATTTAAAACGCGGGTTTTGGTTCTTTAAGTGGAGTTTATGAAACTTACTTAGTACCACTTGCGGTGCTGTCGGAATGCCTTCAGGATCGAATACGTCAGCGACGACGCGCACCCCGCCAAACTGTGCGCGTTGCCGCAACCACCGCAAGAAAACCATCCTGAAGGGTCACAAACGGTACTGCGTATACCGCAATTGCCAGTGCGAAAAGTGCCGTCTGACAACGGATAGGCAAAGGGTCATGGCCATGCAGACAGCTTTGCGAAGGGCTCAGGCCCAAGACGAAGCCATGTTAAAGAACGGGATGTTGTGCGTGCCACCGAAAACACCCAGTCCCGTGAATACGGTTGATCGCGCCAGTGTCGATTGTGATTCTTCAGCGTCGTCACAGTGTTCGAACCCGCCTCCGTTACCCAAAAAAATCACCCCTGTGGTCGGGAGCGCACCGGCGGTGTCTTCGACTTCTGTCGGGATGGGAAATGAAGTTCACAGCTACGAATATAAAGGTAAGTTTTTCTTGAAACTTACGAAGCAAATCTTTCTAAGAGTACGATAAATAAATTGGAGCACTTGCTACACTAATGAATTACCTCAGTTGAAAACTTCTCGTATGGCATTCTTGATCTTCCTCTTCATTTATGTATTTATTCTTAACTAGCTTTTTTATGGTGGTTATTTATAATTTTGATCGCTGTCATCGCAGGTACTGGTTTCTTCGTCGCAACTAAGAACGCTAATTTTTCTGAGGCATTCACTAAATTATTATCAATTTGTAGTATAAATATAATAAAATAAAGTGTACAAAATTTATTATTATTATGTCTAATTGAGACCAATAAACCGACATCCCTCCTGTCGTAAAGGAGAAAAATGAATGCTGAATAGTCGCTTTCTTATTCTTTTGTCACTGGTTGCTGCTTATACTCCAGTTTCTGCTAAATCTAGAAATCGATCTATAACTGCAATATGCCAAATCATTTTTTTTTAAATATAAGTTTTCAAAAACTGTGTTTTAGTGGAAAACAAAGGGAACATTCCCAAAACAAGAAAAACAAACCTCCCACTATATGTCGTTTTAACTTGAAACAGAAAATGGTGTAGTTTGTAGTCATTGGTCTGAGCAATCCTCAGTCCATACTGTCTAAGAATGAATCTGTTCCTATGTCATGTCAATTTCTATAGGTCTACCCTTCAGCTTACACAAATAGAACGATTCCACCAAACTCTAAAAAATCGAAAAATTAAGCGGGTAAGAGATTGGAAATATACTGGTTACTTTTTTGATGTAATTACATAGGTAGCTTTTAAACTATATGGTTTATAAATTGTGAATTTAAATGCAGCTGAAGCTACCAAAATTAAATGAAAAGAGGTCGACTAACAAATATTATAATATTATTTACTATATAATTTTGTAAGTGTTTGCTTTGTTTCTTTCATAGTATTTGCTTATTACATATATCATACATGAAGAGCTAATATTAAAATTAACTCACTTTTTATAATGTACAAATGTACAAAAATTTCAATGGTAGTAGTAGTTCAAAATCGGGACACCCTATGGACAAGGCAAGTGAGTCCAAGAAACCCATTTTGACATTACAAGTTTTGTACAAATTGTTTGTGAAGTTTCAAATAAATTACCTGGAAAGGAAGTACTAAAATCAAGAAATTTGGCTTTTCTAAAAGGTCTGGTAATTTAATTTTTGGTTGCTTCCAGACATCGTGTCTGTCTTCTTCTATCCCATTCCTTATTTGTTTGTTTTCTAAAAAATGTATTTTATGACTTGGATTGCATTTGAAATTAGCCGTTCAGTTTGTAGAAACACATCAGCATAAAAATTCCCCGTGAAAATGTCCAAAAATTGTGTTCATCATCTCAAATCTCATAGCCTAGCAGGCAACTGAGATTCAGGATTGACTTTTTACGTTTTATCTCTCGTTTTACTGAATCTCGGAAATAATTCCTTCTATACGGTGTTTTTCGAGTATATGATCTGTACTATCCGATACTATCCATGCAGCATTTAAATCATAATAGTTCGTTGAATTTCCTTATATTTATGCCAAGTTTTGGTTAGTTTATTTATATAGTTATAGTTAGTTTAGTGTGCATCTATCAGCATTTCGTATGCAGACATCGCATCATTAATACTAAATTATGTAAATTATAGGAAAATGTCAGCTTATACAATTGTTCTGTCATACCTAGATTGTTGATGTAGGTTTTTTCTTTATTCTCGACAACCTCTCCTCAGAATCTGTATAGCAGCATTATTTTTGTGAATTAACAATTTCATATAGTTCCGAAAAACTCCGCCTTAATCGGATTTTGTTAGGTTTCGAGCACCTGGATGTTTCTACCCGGGTTATTAGGCTCACGGTTACTAAATATTCCAAAATTTTCAGTTTTGGAAAATATAACAAGCTCGAAAATAATATTCTGGAATAAAAGTTGTCTCTTTTTTTTTTTTTAATTCTCAATTCATTCCTTTCTGGAAATGATGTATATTTTCACTACCGCAGTAATTTCTTACTCAAGAATTTAGATTTTTCACTACCACTACAGACTATTTGTGACAACGAAAATTCGCTATTTGCCTTTTTTTCGACTTTTTACTGTAATCATCTAACCAAAAAAAAATCACCTAGAAAAGTTACAGTATCTAACACATCGGAAAAGTTCTTTTAAATATGTCTAAAATGGGATAAAGGTGGTGATAATTGTAAGAAAAAACTGTGTTACTATAGAAATTCTCGTGAAGAAGTTGACGAGCTGTCACTGCACCGGAAATGAAAAGATTGCATGAAGTTATCGTACTCAACTTAACTTAATAGAGAATGAAATGGACAATCATCATTGTCACTGATTGTTTACGATTTCTGATGAATGCATTTCCAAAAACGCATCCAAAGGACGGTCTAAGGCAAAATTTTGGATAAAAATTTATCCGATTAGAGGTATCATTTTGCCACTCTTCGGGGTTGATTTTATAGTGATGAGAAACCAAATCTGCTTCCTTTCTTCCTTCCATTTCTACAAATTTTAATTATATAGCCGAAAAATCCAGGTCTAAACTGTTTGATGATAATATTTTTGTGTCTATTAAAAATTCCCAAAAAATTGCCAATTTTTAATTTGAATAGCACGAATACAACACCACTTGCTCAGATTTTTATCTGAAATATTTTGAAAATGTGATTTATTTGAATCTTTAAATATTACAAGCATGTCATTAAATTATACGAAAGGGCTGTGATTGTAGGATCTCAGCATATCCCAAGAAATTCTAGCATACATGAATATATTTCAAGTTTTCTTAAATATTTAATAGCAGTAATCTTTCATAGCGCTAGGTATAAATAATCGGTATATTGGCACAAATAATAGTATGGATAAACACAATGCGTTGCAATGAACACTTTGGACACAGGATATAAAACATGCTACGCATGCCTTGTCGAACATGATGCGACGTGCCCGTGAGAGAACGCGTCTGCTAATGTAATTTTGCGAATCGCGTTCGGATTTATCGAATTTGAAATTATAGTGGGTGACTTTTAAATTCTTTCTACGCAATCAGATTTTTATATATTCGTAAACCGAGGGCAGGATCCATTTAATACAAATTTGTACAATTGGACATACTGATGAGTAGCAAACATTACATCAAATTAACTAAATAAAATTAACGTAATTTTTACTTAAATTTGATTCAAAGCTGAGTTCTCATAAAAACAAAGCTCTGCCAAGTTGAAAAAAGCTGTTGTGGGAAAATATAGTTCAGACAATATTTTTCTAATGCTATAGGTCTGTGGTGTTATAGAGAAGAAAAAAAAATCATTTCTATTTAACGCGTCAGAACTAACCGAATAAGATAAATAACCCATTTTCTAACTTCAGAAAGAACCTTAAAAATGTTGATAATGGCGGTATTATCCAGATCGTCATTATTTTGCCTCACAAAAATATTATTTTGTTTAAATAATTGACCGAAATATGTTTTAATAACTTTTGGACAAATTCTGTGGCAGGACATCACACAACACAATTTTTTTCATTTTTCCTTCAACTAACCAACGAACAATCGAGAGTGTTTGAAAGGAGCGTCAGCTTCGTTACTCACAACTCACTTCGGACATTTAAGGTACTTTAGTCACGAGCTTGGGAGCGAGCCAATGGATTTTGACGTTTGCCCATTCTGACGGTCATGTCACACGTCACTAAGTGAATACTTTCATGTTGTTTTTCAAAAATGTACCACAAAACTTTTGGTCTTAGAAAAAGTATAGCATATAACACGTTTGATAAACTTTTACGCAGTCGCTTCGCTGCGCTCCAAGGAGGCTTTGCTAAATGAAGCTCGTGATTAAGATGGCATTTAGGATTTTAGCATTCTTAAATAATTTGAACTTTGTCAAAATGTAATCTAGTTTTAGTTTCTCCATTGCTTAACAAGTATCTATGTTATGTAAGCGAAATTTACAGTGAAGTGTAGCAATAAGCTCATTTTATATCAATTATACAAAAATTTCTAACCTTATACGGGATGTCCAAAAATTTATTATTTTATTTAGTTATTCGCTTGGTTATTCGTCGATTAGGATGTCCTATAGCTAACATTTTCGCAGAATACGCAAAATTATGAGGTTTTGCGCCATTTGCTGTTTTCCTAAGTGTTTTCTTAATAAGTTTTCTAAATGTCAGATAATTTGTTTAAATTCTCAGGGTCTATCTGATTTTTCAGTAGTATATTGTTGTGATGTTGTTTAGTTCATATGATGATTTAGCCTAGACAAGAGAGTATCGATAATTTTGAAGAAAGTTATGAAAAGACGGGTTTTCTTCCATTGTGTGTTGTTTTCGGATAGTTTTGATTAGGTAGTGGTCGTTCATAGCGCAGATAATGAATTACTTTACAAATTTCTAAGTTTTTTAAAATCTTATCCATAATTATTGTAATTTTTTGTGTTGTTGTTAAGAATAATCATTTTTTGAACTGTGCTGGTTTCTAAAATTATTAATAATTGAATTGAGAGCAATTTCAAATAACAACAAATTTTCTTACAATATATATAAAATTTTATTAAAAAAACACCAAATACTGTTAAGAACCACAGTTGTGTTCAGGGAAAACACGAGCAAGTCGCCCTAATACCATTCAATGGGTAATTAAAAGTGCATTCCTTGCTAAGTTAAAAATATAGCGTTTTGTTAAAATGGATAAAGTTAAAGCCACTTAAAAGTTTTTTAGCGCCCTGTATAATATGGGAATTTTTTCACAATTGCAATATTAAATATAGATTATTACACTCAAATTCAAATTACTTAAAACAAGTCCTATTGAAATTTATTTTGGCGGTAAAATTGATACATATAGCACCTTTGGGGTCCTTGTATAAAATGAAAGTAATTTTGAAAAGTAATCGTAATATCCTAAAACTAAAACTTTTCAATAATCTTGTATTTAAAGGTTAAAGTAAAAGTAAGACATTTAAAATTTGC